GCATATAGGTGTTCTGTTACCACTGAGGGCAAGTTTTTATTTATCTGCAGTTGAGCTCTGGTTTTCACTTGTTTATAGCCATGTTATGAGGACTTTGGTGATCCTTCATGCCAGATTAAATTGGGTGTCCCAATCCCTTGACTCCTGAGCCAGGGAGCACAGCACAATGCCAAGGTATAGTGGGAAGTATGCTCTAGAATCATAGAATGGGCTCTGTTGGAAGGGACCTTAAAGACCATCTAGTTCCAACCCCCTGCCATAGGTAGAGACACCGTCCACTAGATAGGCTGCTCAAAGCCTCATCCAACCTAGCCTTGAACACTTAAAGGAATGGGGCAGCCACAACTTCTTGAGACAACCTGTTCCAGTGTCTCACCACCCTTCCACATTCCTCAGCAGTGACCTACACCTGAGTTTTGAATTTGTCTCATGAACCATTTACAGACTTCCTCAATCACAGATAATCACAAAAATGGTTGTTAATGGGGATATCTGAAAGCCACCTAGTTCACCTTACTGCCTGGAGAAGGTCTATCACCAATCCCAGGTCATATATGTGGGTTTTCTGAGGCAGTAGAAACAGAAAAACACTAGTAGCGTATATTTTCTATTACTTTAACAAGCATGGTCATAATCTTTTTAAGCTGTTAGGCTACACTGAGAAACACAGGCATCATGCTATTTACAGTTAGTCTGTTGTCTAGTATTACTTTTAATGTCTAAGAAAAGAATCCTCACAACATTTTCTGAGCACATAAGAATTCGTGTCTCAAAACTGCAACGATTTTCAAAGACATTTTTACCCTAAAGCTTTCCTAATTTTAAAAATACGTATGATCTTCTGGTTTTGTCCAGAAAAGCTGAACGGAAAAATGTATCTCCAAAGAGTAAATGCAGCAATCCTTTTTCCTTTTAAGTCTGCAGTTAAGTTGGCATAATCACTATTCTGAAACTAGTATGAGAAAAACCCAAGAAGTTCTGTTGAATTTAACAGGCAAGACTTTGATAAGGACCTACTGATTCCATGGTTAAACGAAGAGAACTGTCCCCCTCCTGAGGTCCGTTGAGTCTAGAAGGGCCCCAAGACTTTTTCAGGGTCATGAGCACACATCCTGTTGGTATGCATTTCAAATGATCACAAGGAATTGGAGTCCTGAAGAGAATATTACTGCTCGTTGGCACTCCCTAATCAGTTAAGCTCCACCTGCACCAGCTTTGCAAGTCATGCATGTAGATGATGAAAATCTTCAATATGATAATCCGACAGAAACGGGTGGTGGAATCTATCATAGTTCAAAACACAAATGATATTCTGTTGTAACTATTATATGATGGAAAACTGGGGGGGGGGGGGGGGGGGGGGAGGAGGCACAAAAGCATTTTGAAAAATGAGCCGTACATATTTCCAAAGGCCAGAACTTGAACTATGATATTACAGAACTAATTGCCACAGAGCATTCCAGCAAGTCCTCAGAGGCTTGCATTATTCCCCATCAAAAAGGTTCATTTGAGCCTAAGCTTGCAATGCAGACTGGAATCCTGCTGAACTTGCACTTCTTTTAAAGATAATTTTTACTCTACCACATTCCTACTGGTATAGATGAGGAAAAATGTAAATCACTTCCCAGCACAGACAGCAACATTATAAAAAACTGGAAGTATTTGTAGCATGTTAGATTTTTGTCATACAAATGACTGCAATCACTATAAACTGAATTCAAAATTCCTACTGCTCTTCTTTACTCCACTATTACATTGCATACTTAATGAATAGAGGCTATTATGTCACTAGGGGCCAGCACTTTCTCAAAGTAGTTGTATAAAAGGAGCAATGTCTAAACCCCAAACATTCAAAACCGGTTGTCAGCCTCAAACAACTAAGGGCATTGGGGCAAAACCAATTTCCTAGGTTTCATGATAAAATACCGAGAACTGGTAAGGTGCTATGAATTAGATGGGTTAAAGCCAAGGGTTAAACCCAAAATTTGGGTTAAGGCCCAAATTCCCTAATGGACATGTTTGGCAGATTCTTATCAGGGGTTCCTGATATCAATTTTAGGGCTCCAAGATCCAACTGGAATTTTCAATGCCATATTCAATATGTAACTTTGTGGGACTTAACCATGGCCAAAAGTCTCTGTGACCAAAGATAAGCTGAGATCTGAATTCTCTCCTTAGTGAGAAGACATTAAAACCCACATTTCTCACTGCAGTATTCTTATCACCACACCAAATGTATTCCAGGGTTGAAGTTATTTCACTGTGGTTTACAAGCAAAACAAAGGTAGAAATGAATGTCTAGCTTACTTGTAAGGAAACTACTGTGGGCACTTTCTACCTAAGTGCCTGTGCTCTGTTTGACTCACTTTTACTTTTCTTCTGCCTACTCAAACTTTATTTTTTGTATGTAAACCAGAATCATTTCATTAAGAAGTGAGAATCCCCTCATGCCACAGCTGCCTGTGGAGTAGGAAAACAGAAAAATAAGGAAAAGCTGTATGATATTAAAGACTGAATCTAAGGGTCCCACCTCCTTTATAACTGTGGTCCTATAAAGGTGAGGATGCAATCTTGCTTCCTTTGATAGTTTTAAAGGAGTTGTATCCAAAGTTAGGTTTGCAAATCTACTAAGGGTCAACTAGTTCATCCTGGTTTCATATGGGAAGATCAATTTTAACCTTGCCACCTGCAGTTTAAAACCATAAAACTTTGTCCTGTTTGCATAAAAATATTTTAGGACTTTCTTCATATTAGCCCTTATTCTTCTCCTCCCAGTCTAACCATGGACATTTTTAAAAATCTTTTCCTTTAGAATCTTTTTTTCCAGATCTTCCATTGCTTGTTCCCTCTGGACTCTAGCATGTTTCTTGATGGGTGGCTATCAAAATTACAGACTATCCTACAACAGGATAAATTAGCAGCCTGCAAGTCCTACCTACAACAATTTTGGGTACCTTCCAGAATAATGTTCACTTTTTGATGATAGTAAGAAATTATTTTCTGCCATAACCTGACTCTCCATCTAGAACTGTTTCTTACCCAGTTCTTTCCCAAGATCACTGTGCAATTGCCAACCCCCTCCCAAACAAAACCCAAAACAAGAAAAACGCCCTCTAAAGAACCAAAACACAAAACAAAAAAATAAAAAAAAAACAAACCCGCACCAAAAATCTCAACTGCAAACCATCTTTTACTCTGTGAAGAAAAACAAGCGCAGTAAATTTCAAAAGGGAGTTCATTTTTATGTTTTGAGGGATGTACCTTCTCATTACACTGACAGGTGTTTACACAAGCAGTATTGGATTTACAGCATTCTCTCCTCAAAACTCTTAGCAGCATATTCACTGCAATGCTGACTTTTCAGATTCACGTTTATAAACGCTTAACTCTCCCTGTGGTATTGCTGAAGTGGTGTTGTCTTTTATTGATGGCTGCCCCTATATAATTGCTTAACTTCTGTTTCGTAGAATCATACAATCAGCTAGGCTGGAGAAGACCTTTAAGCTCATCAAGTCCAACCTTCATCCCAGGACTGACAAGTCCACCACTAAATCACATCACTAAGGGCCACAGCTATACGTTGTTTGAACACTTCCAGGGGTGGCGATTCCAGCACTTCCCTAGGAAGCCTGTCTTTTGGTGAAGAATTTTTCCTAATATCCAGTTTAAACCTCCCCTGGCACAGCATGTGACTACTACCTCTTGTCCTGTCACTTGTTACCTGGGAGAAGAGACCAGCCACCTTCCCTTATCCTCCCTTCAGGTAGCTGTAGAGAGCAATAAGGTCCCCCCTGAGCCTTTTCTTCTCCAGACTGACCAATCCCAGTTCCCTCAGTTGTTTCTTGTAAGAGTTGTGCTCCAGACCTTTCCTCAGCTTTGTTGCCCTTCTCTGGACCTTTTCCCCCAAGCAGCTTTCCAGCCACTCTTCCCCAAGCCTGCAGCATTGCATGGAATTGTTGTGGGCCAAGTGAAAGACCCAGCCTTGTTGTACCTCATACCACTGGCCTTTGCCCATCAATCTAGCCTGTCCAAATCCCTCTGCAAAACCTTCCCACCCTCCAGCAGCTCAACACTCCCACCCAGCTTGGTGCTGCCTGCAAGTTTACCGAGTTTGCACTGATTAAGGCCTATGTCCTTTGTTAATGATGGAGATGAAAGCAGCCATATAAAAAATAAAAAAATAGTGAAGCATATGACAACCGTTTGCTCCCCACCAAACCTGTATCAAAGCACAGACATCCCACGACAAAGAGCCCAGCAACAGAACTCAGTGGACGAGGGCTGCACGATAAGCGTTACACCACGTAATCCCACCATCCAGGAGCTCTCCCGGCCAGACGTACCGCATCACCGCGTACAACCGGAGCACGGGACGCGGCGGCGGAGGCCAAGCAGAGGACGCCCAGCAAAGGCAGTGACAGAAGGTCAACCCAAGCTCACCACAGACTAACGGCCGCTAACAGGAGCCGGGCTGAAACCCCTCACAGCACCGCTATCCTGACCGCCCTCCTCCCGGACTACTCCCGCGGCTCAAGGGCAGCAGAGTGGCAGAAATTAAAGCTGCCTGCCGCCTCACCGAGCGCTCCTCAGCGGTGCCACAAAGCACGCCACACACGGGAACCCACGCACACACTCCCCACCGCCGGCGACGAGGGACTGAAGGGCGTGGCAAGGGCTCCTTCCGCTCGCGCCCCGCCCCGCGCACGCGCGCTCCCACCAGCGGCAGCCCGCGGGGCTATGCTTCCCGCCCCACGTGACATGGAGGCGGAGACGGGAAGGGAAAGGTCAGTGTCGACGCCGGCGGAGGGGGAGCGGAAGGTCAGGGTGCCGCGGAGCGGAAGTGGGAGCCTGAGCTCGTCCGCCATTGTGGGGAAGCGGAGCCTAGAGCAGGGGGGGAAGCGGTGCTGCGTCCGGCCGGTCGGCTCCTTCCAGTGGGAACCCGATCGGCGGCGGCAGCGAGCCTACGCGGCGGCGACGACAATCAAGCGGCGGCGGGGAGGAGGCGGAGGAGGAGGAGGCGGCGTCCGCTGCGGTGAGCGGAGCGGCGGGCGAGCGAGCGAGCGAATCTCTGGCGTGCGGAATCACTCGAGGCCCAGGCGGAGCGGAGCGAGGGGATCGCGGCTCCCCGTGAAGAATGTCAGCCACCAGCGTCGACCAGGTACCGGCCGCGGAGCGGAGGGGCGGTCGCCCGCTCCCTGCCCTTTTCTCATCTCTGGCTCATCGTTAGCCCCGGCGGGGGAGGGGGGGGGGGTGGCAGCTAGGCGGCCACCTGCACCTTCCCTCGTCGTTGGGGCGGTGCGGTTCGCGGCCTTCTCCTTCCCGCCCTCCCTCTTTCCCCCGCCGCCGCCATAGGGAGCAGCGATTAATCGGAGCCGGTGGCGCCCGGGATGGCAGACCCCTTTCCCAGCCCGGCAGGCCCTATTTATAACTAATGATCCGCGGCAGAGCCGCTCCGCCTCCTCGCCCGCAGGGCCCGCCGGCGCTCAGCCCCGCGCCTCCCGGCCCGCCGCCCGCTCGGCTCTCCCCGCCTGGCCGGCCCTTCGGTGTGTTCCGACACCCTCCCGGCCCAGCCCCTCCGAGCTCCCGTTTTCTCTCTCGGCTCCGGGAGCGCCTGGGTGCCGGGCTCCCCGCGGCTCTCTACTCCGTCTCTTCCCTCCCAGGGCACCCCTAATTTCTCAGGCTCCTCCTTACCGCATCATTTCTCTTCTGTCACCCATCTCTTCTCCCTTCGGGCTCCTGGTTTTTCGTCCTTCCCCGCGGCCTCCGCTTTTCCTAGCTGTTCTCTCTGCGTGCGCTGTGCTGCACTTTTTTAGATGCTTCTTCATGGAGCTTAAGAGTTTGTTATTTTGTATGTTTGCTAGGCCTCCACTGGCGTTTCTTTCCGGCTGGAATCTGTTCTGTCTTGGTCTTTGCTTCTTCATGGGCTTCTGCCACTCCCTGAAAGTTTTGGCCCTGCATTCTGCTGCTCCCTTTAATTTTGTGTCTCTGTCTTTAATGTTTTATTTCTTAAGTCCCTGTGCATGCTCCCAAGTTTCCTTTTAAGCACTTCTTTCTAGCTGAATGATCTCTTAGTTTTTCATTGCTCAGTCTTCCACGAAGGCTTCTTCCCAACTTTTCTAGTTCTATGTCTCTTGTTCGTCTCTGCATGCCTTGGTGTTTGGATCAGAATCGTCCTAAATGATGAGGCGTTTGGGGGGTTTAAGTTTACAGAGGTTTTTTCTCTGGTTTTGGGAGATGGAAGTAACCAGTGCAGCCTTAGAACAGTGTTAAGCACTGTTACGATAACTCTGAGGCAGATGCACATGAAAGCAAGATGGAGGGGGTTGCCTTCTAAACTTTCAAACCTCTGAATACTGTTTTTTTCAGGACTAAAAATCATTAGAGAGTAATGGAGCTTTGGAAACCCTCCCATGTTTAGTTGTATGTAGGAGCAGAGATGAACTAGATTTTCATGAGCTGACTTTGTTTTTTCCTAAGCTATTTTATTTTGCTATAGAGGAATTAAGGATACTGCAACTTGTACTGTTACAGTGATTCTTAGTGCATGGCAGAGTGTTTTGTAATAACTAATCGTGAAAAGAAAAAAGTCCTTATTAGTTCCTTGTGTGAAAGCTTCATACAGGCTGCATCATTTTCTCAGTGTGATTGCCTAGATGAGGAATGCACAACTTGTAGTTAAGCTTACGATATCACTCTATATTCCTTTGTGTATCTAAACAACAAGGCACTGTACAGTACTGCCTGATAAGAACCCATCAGTCAAAAGATGACATATGATAAGTTCTCATGAAGTTCTAGTACTGGTAGTTACCTTAAGCTACTAACCTTAATTGTTCTTTTACTCTATGCTTTGTTTATTGTTTATATTTTGGGGAACACATGACACAATCAAAATCCATTTGTTCACGTTTTCAACGCCATTTATACTTTACAAGCTGTAGAAGACTAGGTTATTTCAATGTTTTTTGGTGAAATTACTTCTGTTTTTAAGTTTTGCTTAAGGTAATATTTTACATTATTTTATATAACAATAGTTTTTACAATAGAATGTTTTTAATAATATTTTAAACTGATACATAAGTTGAAAGAGCAGGTTGGCAAATAAATGGAATTATCCTGAAGTAAACATTAGAGGATTCTAACTGTATTTGTTTTGCCTCTCCCCCCCCCAATTTTCTACATACAGAGACCTAAAGGACAGGGAAATAAAGGTAAGTTGAGTCCTTGTATTTCATCACTAATATTGCTGCTTATGGAGGTTAATATGTCTTCAGAAAATCATGGGAAGAGAACGTAGCTATTGAATGTCTTTTATTTCAGAGCAAGATGACAGGAAATTTTGTGCCAAAATGTTGTTTCCCAGCATTTTTACTGCAGCACAGCAGTGCATCAATTTAAAATGGTTTATTTTGCAAATGAAAATTAATGTCAGAAGTAAGATGATAACCTAGGAATTTCTTTTTAGTTGATAGTGATATGATTGTGTAATCTCTTTAACAGTACACCTTGGGCCTTTCTGTGCAGAGAATAGAATCAGTCTACTAGAATCATCAGGAAGAATCTTTTGAACAGCTTCCTTAGCTTGTGAGACAACAGCCACGTGACTATTTAGTTACTCATATCTATCTGTGAGCAGAACACATCACCTTCCTTATTCTCGGAATCTTTGTGGGCTTTTCATTTCACTGTCAGTATAGAATATTCCCTTAGTGTTAGTAGGCCTTCTGCTATTCTACTTTTTTCCATATTTCTGCCAACACCTTAATTTTTAAATGCCATATTCAGTGGGGTTTCTTCTCTCCCACAAAAATAAGGAATGAACTACTTTATGTTCTTCTCTCTAAAATTCTTGGCAAGTCTGTTGTAAACAGCATCTCAGCTTGTATCTTGCAGTTTCTTTCTGGTTGGCAATTTCTTTTCTTTGACATAAAGACTAATACTCTGGGAATTCTTTTTGCCTAATCTGTACACTTGTGCCCATTTAATTTTTAGGTATAGAATAACATGTGCACCGTTACCTTCTTGTGTTAATATCCTTATTGTTTGTTTACGCAGATAAACTTTGCCTCTCACTGTTCATTATCTGAACTAGTCTAATTGTTCTCTATGAATTGTCATTCAATGTTAACTGCAGCATACTTTTTCTGTGTGCATATTACCTGCTGCTTATTACAAATATCACTTATGATGATGTTTGGTGAGTGGCACATGATTCTTGAATCTTGCGGAATTTGTTTGTTCCCTTTCATTTCTCTGCATTCAGAGTAAAATGAGCTTGTGTTTACATCCTCAGACCTCCTCAGTTTCATCACTCTTGAGTACTTGTTGTCTCGTATTCTAATACTTCTATATTTCCTTCCCCCCCCCCCAAAAAAAAATAAAATGGAGTTTTTAACTATTTCTTTGTGTCTTTGAAATAGTTTTTATTTATATATTCCATATTGCCCTAAAATGAGAAGAAAAGTGAGAATCATTTTAACAAGTAGTTTGGGGCGTTGTGTTCTTTGAATTACCCTATCTCAGTTTTAGTAAGGTTATTGAGATGCATCTTCTAGAGAGTCATGCAAGTAGTGTTTGAACTGTACTCCATTTATATGGATAGGAGCAGATATATTAACCATTTCTAATTGTGTGTTATGTTGCAGTTTAACAGTGAAAGTGTAAAAGTCAGCTTTAACTTATTTATGTTGGCATATTTTTGTGTGCTGTTGTTTGTAAATACCACAGAATGTTTGCATCAAAACACATCTCCTAGTTTGCTATGTATGGAAGAAATTCTTGTACTTCTGTACTTGGATTTGTATGGAATATATCCTTTTAAATATTGTATACTTCCTGTATATTTTCTTGGTAAGAATATAACCTAAATGAAAACTGTAGTGAAACAAAGCAAAATCTCCTCCATTCTATTAAATTATTTGGTTTAATGTCTATTTAATGACACTAAGTTATGATTCAGCATTAGATTAAAGGGCTAGGAGGTTGGAGATATGGTAGCACAGTGGAACATGAGTAGTTGCTTTGGTTTAGAGACTTTTTTGAGAGGATAAATTAAGTTGGTATCAGCAATCCTTACTAACAACATATTAGCAGACAGTATTTTCTTTTCAGGTGCCATGTTAGGCCCCAGGTTAAGGGAGCCTCAAGGGAAGATGTGATACTGAGTTTATAGACTAACCAGGGGTTGGTTCTGTGCATAAGAATTACAACGTTAGAGGATGCTAAAAGATTACGGTCCGCGGTTTTGGCAGCGCATATGAGAGAATGTGAGTGAGCAGTATAAGGGGTGTATGCATGGAAGTAAAACAGTTTTTCATATTGAAACAAAAAATCCTAGACCTGCAAATGACAGGGGGAGGTAGCTGATTTGTATTGTTTAGTAAAATGTTTAGTGTGCCTTGTTTTAGTTAATTATAAATTGGTGTATTGTGCTGTTTCCCTTGACCAGAATTTGTGGGATTGAAATTCTAGTAGAACTGTACTATCCATCTGTTGTGTTGGATATCAATGATAGCATTTCAGAGACTTGAGTGAGTAAATTATCCTGTCTTCAAAGTTTTCTTTTGATTGTCAGCTACTGTACAGTTGACAAAACGTCAGAGCTGACATCAGTCAAATGATGATTTTTTTTTTTTCCTTTGTTTGTTGTGCCAGTGTATCACACCTGTTGTAGGGAAGTGCTGACTTGTGTTTACATGTGTGTGTATAATCTTGGTTTTGTAGAAGGTTTAAATGTAAGCATTAGTTTTAAAACAAGAATGAAATGTTCTTTCTTTTTGTATTTATTGTTCACATTACCCAGGGTGTAATAACATCTAATGAAAAATTTATTCTTATGCCTTTGGCCATCGTTTGTGCATTTTGCAAGTGGTTATTCAAAGGACAGTAGTGGTTAAAAGAATATAAGCTTTAAGTTCCTTTACTTAATGAGTTGTTTCTTCCCAATATCCAATTACACTGTATGTTTTCACAGTGTTTGCAAAAGTATATGGTATTTTCAGAATTGGATTGATACAGATATTTTTAGTAACTGTAGATTAGTTTCAATTGGTATTCTTCATTACTGCCCTGTTCAGTTGGAACTTAATGTGAGATTTTGGGAATAAGGCATGCATCTTAATCTGTTTGCTCTTGTTAAATGTGTGTGGGGGCTACATTCTTCATTATTAACACATTATGTAAGTTAGAATGAAAAAACAGAGGAACATGCTTCCACTGATGCTGTTTCACTGAAAAATGTGTATGTTTACTAGGAAGGATGTCAGTGCAGAACTGTTTTGTGTCACTGACTTAAGATCTTGGTACAAAATGAATAAGAAATAATATTCTTGTAAGTGTATTTTCTATGTTACTTGTAATGGCAGACCAAAAATAATTGTGTCTTAAGTGACCTTTAGATACCTCTGAAATAATAAGCACAGCAGATGCATGTTTTGTGAAGATTAGCTGTCAGTATGAGGAGATTAATTTTGATAGGATTCTGGTCTTGACATACAGCTGTTTATTCCTTTGTTTGTGGTAGCATGCTTTTAAGAAACTTGTATGCTGCCATCTGTGTTTTTCATTATAACAGAATTCTGTGTGAGAATTGTGCTCTCCTACTATTTGGTTAAGTCTAAGCAATAGCATTGACAAAAGATTTTGAGGCTCATCCGTCATGTGACTGGGCCAAATATAGAGAGAAATATAGTCTTCCAGCTCATTGATATGTTATCATTGTGTGTGAATTTAGGATGATTAATGACCTTTCCTGAAACTCTTTATGGGGAAGAAAAAACCTCAACACCTGCAATAAATTTTTAAATCTTCAAGAAGATATTTAAAACACAAGTTGCTTTCTTCCTTTCCAGATACTTGCTTTGAAAAAAAATCTTATGTTGTTCTGTGTTAAATTATGCATTTTTAGCTCTTTACTACTGTCTGAAGTGAAATTTTCTCAGAATTTTAGTTGCTCCTGGTGATTTTGTCTATTCTTCTGTATTTTTTTTTTTCTTTCCAGTTAGTTTCGTTCCTTGAAAGCAGTTTGTTTCAGAGATGTTAAAGTCAAATGTGGGGAAAGGAAAAATAATAATGAAATGAAGTGTCTTGGTCCAGGCACCCCTTAGTTTGCAACATGAACTTTGGGTGGCAAAGCCTCCTTCTAATAAATTGGAAAAAACACCGCTCTTAAACACTAATTCCAATAAAGTTGAAGGTTTTGTTATATGGTTGCGTATACTTTTCAGAAGCTAAAACAGGGAAACCACTGAGTCAGCTCCTGATTTGTCATCTCAAGTTGTAAGAAAGTCAGCTGTTGTAACTTCTGCTGTCACGGTTTCTCAGTGCACCTTCCTGATCACTATAAAACCTTGAGAAATAACAAAAAAAATGCATTCAGAAAAGCAGTTATTTATTTTTGAGAAGAGGTCTTAATCTTCAAACTGTATAACTGCAAACTGCTGTTTTAAGTCCCTGTTCTACTTCGCACCACAGGAAGCAGTGGAACCTAGTAGAAATTTGTGCAATTTGACTTTGTTTGAATAGTAGCCTAGGGGAGGGTAGAGAGACACTTCAAGTAATTTGGGCAGCTGGAAAATTCCAGGTAGGTGTAATGCCTTAGATGAAATTAAAGGTAATAGGAGGCCAAGTAGAGCTGGTAAGAAGAGATTCCAATGTATAGGGGCATACATGCTAGGAAAGGATTTGTAATCACCGTTGGGGACTTTAGCTCTTGTTTCTCTCCTGCTTTGTCCCCTCAGAGCTTCAGAGATGCCACTAATGCAGAACACCGTAATAGTTACGTAGGAAATACAGAATAAATAGCTGAATAATGGTGTCCTTCATGGTTGTCTTGGTGGGTAACTGCCTTTCCTCCTGGCAGGAGAATGTTGTATGTTACAACTTTCCCTGAACCTATTGAGTATGTCTGATCTGGTTGGTCGGTCTGCACATTTGCACTTGGTCTGGTACTTCTGGAAATGCTGGATTTACTGCCTGTGCAAATAAGGTGTGCCTATAGTTTTTTCTTTGTCTTTGGAGCTCAGGAAGGAGTAGTCAGGAATAGTCTTCTCTGGTTTCCATCTTTCCAGACCTCTCTTGAGATCTGATCAGGATCATCAGTAGAATGAGCTATTTTCTTTGACTTTAGAAAGCAGTGTGTAGAATAGTACGTCCAGTCTTAACAAAGCATAAGTAGAAGCATTTCAGTTTACAAGTGATTAAGAAGTATTATCTAGATTAAAAGTGCAACATAGATCTTCCAGAGAGCATACCTAATACAGATTTACTTTTAGTTTCAGTACAAAACGGTTCGATTCATCAAAAGGATGCAGTAAATGACGATGATTTTGAGCCATATCTAAGTAGTCAGACAAATCAGGTAAGTGAGCATTGTTTACTATATTGAAGTTAATTTTGGAGTTCAACTGACTTCTAGACTTAATTTTTGGATGATATTTCTTAGCATTACTTGCTTGAATATTCACTGAATTTTTATTTATTTATTTTTTTATCCTTGTCTTATCATACAGTATCTTAAACAGGTAAAATCTTCTTAATCATTCTGGAAAAAATTTGGTTTAAAAGCATGCTCTGATGTGTTCTACTTTTGTGCTTGTGCTCTGACTTCAGAAAAATAAAGTTACAAGAAGCTTGAGGAAAAAAAACAAACCCAAAGACCAAAACGCAAACCCTAAATCAAAACCCTACAACTTAAAACTTGCCATGAGATCATCATTTATTGGATACAGTTCAAAACAACAACTTAATTTGCTCTGAGAAAATGTTAACTGCTTGGACATGATTTCTTTTGAAGTTGGTAGAGGTAGCTCACAGTTGATGGCAAAATAGATTGAAGTGTAATATTACTACAGTTTAGTTACAACTCTTCTGCCAGGAAGTTAATGAGCAGTGAATTGTTTCTGTAGTTGAAAGTTAATACTTGTTAAGTTTGTAAACTGTAGCAGTCTTGAAAGAGGGAGAAAGTACAAATTATTAAAAGGCTTTGAGAATTTTGCTTGCATTCTCATTTTGTTGTTTTTTTTTTAGTTTTTTTTTTTTAACACAACATGAAGGAAGCATCAGCTAGAAGATGATAATTTTGCATTACTTTCCCAAAACCATCAGAAATGATATATGGGTAGTCCTTCAAGTGTCTTTGAACTTTATCTTCTCAAGAAGTAAATGCTGTGGTTTTCCATGAGTCTTGGGAAGTATGATTTGAATTTAGCTAGGAAACTTTGTTCTGCTGTATAGTACTTAATGACCATTCTCAACAGCGTAGAAATGTTATGGTTTGATTGTTGTTCCTCCTGAAAGACAGACATTCTTGTATCCTTTTCACTGTAATATTCCAGCAGGAAGCGAGAAACAGCTAGAAGTGAGGAATTTGACAAATAACTAAGAATACCAAAACTTCAGATCGTAGTTGCAGCTATTTTTCTGTGTTTATGAAATTACAGTTGTTAAGACTTTCTTTTTTTTCCTTTTTTCTTTTAGTAGCTTGTTATTTTCTTCATACTGTTGACATGGAGGCATTTTAAGCTTAGCTTAGTTACTAAAAATAATCTATTACAAAAATGGAGCTCCTTAGTCCTTTGAGAAGGTCTCTTGAGGAAAAAATGGTCATATCTAATGGATACCTTGTGCATCTTTTACACTAGGAGGAATGGTGGAAGTTACAAACGCATTCATGTAATCTTTAAAAATGTTTTGGACTGCAGTACAGTGTATTGGGTCTTTTTCCCTGAACATAATGTCTGTATTGCTGATTTTTGGTCTTATTTTCTTTTTCAGAGTAACAGCTATCCACCAATGTCAGACCCATATATGCCTAGTTATTACGCTCCATCTATTGGATTTCCATACTCTTTAGGCGAAGCAGCATGGTCAACTGCAGGTGACCCTCCAATGCCATACTTGACAACTTATGGACAGATGAGTAATGGTGAACACCATTACATACCTGATGGTGTATTTAGTCAACCTGGGGCATTAGGAAATACCCCTCCATTTCTCGGGCAGCATGGATTTAATTTTTTTCCTGGGAATGCAGACTTCTCTACATGGGGGACAAGTGGATCTCAGGGACAATCAACGCAAAGCTCTGCTTATAGCAGCAGCTATGGCTATCCGCCTAGTTCTCTTGGGAGAGCCATAGCAGATGGACAGGCTGGATTTGGCAGTGATACTCTGAGCAAGGTGCCTGGGATTAGCAGCATTGAGCAAGGCATGACTGGACTGAAAATTGGTGGAGATATGACAGCCGCTGTGACAAAAACTGTAGGCTCAGCTCTTAGCAGTACAGGTATGACAAGCATTGCAGCAAACAGCGTGCCCCCAGTTAGCAGTTCAGCACCTAAACCAACCTCATGGGCTGCCATTGCAAGGAAGCCTGCTAAACCTCAGCCGAAGCTCAAGCCTAAAGGTAATGTGGGCATTGGGGGTCCTGCTGTACCGCCACCACCTATAAAACACAACATGAATATTGGAACTTGGGATGACAAAGGGTCAGTAGTAAAAGCACCCCCAGCCCAACCAGTACTGCCTCCTCAGACTATAATCCAGCAGCCTCAGCCATTAATTCAACCACCACCACTGGTGCAAAGCCAACTGCCTCAACAGCAGCCTCAGCCACAGCAACCACAACAGCAACAAGGACCTCAGCAGCAGGCCCAGCCTCACCAGTTGCAGCAGCAGCAGCTGCAAAACCGCTGGGTAGCTCCTCGTAATAGGGGTGTTGGCTTCAGCCAGAATAATGGAGCTGGTAGTGAGAACTTTGGTTTAGGTGTTGTATCCGTCAGTTCCTCACCTTCTGGTGTGGAAGTGCACCCAGTGCTGGAGAAACTAAAGGCCATAAATAACTATAATCCCAAAGACTTCGATTGGAATCTGAAGAATGGACGGGTGTTTATAATCAAAAGTTATTCAGAGGACGATATTCATCGCTCCATTAAGTACTCTATCTGGTGTAGTACTGAGCATGGTAATAAGCGCTTGGATGCTGCTTACCGTTCCCTGAATGGAAAAGGCCCGCTCTATTTACTCTTCAGTGTGAATGGCAGTGGACACTTTTGTGGAGTGGCTGAGATGAAGTCTGTTGTGGACTACAATGCATATGCTGGTGTCTGGTCTCAGGATAAGTGGAAGGGGAAGTTTGATGTCAAATGGATCTTTGTCAAGGACGTTCCCAATAACCAACTGCGGCATATTCGCTTGGAAAACAATGACAACAAACCAGTTACCAATTCGAGGGACACTCAAGAGGTACCCCTAGAAAAAGCCAAGCAAGTGCTTAAAATAATTGCTACTTTCAAGCATACCACCTCAATCTTTGATGACTTTGCACATTATGAGAAGCGTCAAGAGGAGGAGGAAGCCATGCGTAGGGTAAGAAATCAGTGTCATTATACTAGCTCTTCTGGTTTTTTCTGGTTTTGGAAACCTTGTTTTTCATACAGCTGGAACTTGAATGTGTGAGTGTTGAATCAGAAAGTGGTGCTTTTTACCCAGGGTGTCTGTACTTGATATAATTGGCTTTTAATGAAAAGATTGCAGTTCCTGTAACTTAGCACAGGTATGTGTTTAACCACAATACTAACGTAGGCCTGCACAAGTGGACTTCTAACATGTTTCACCCTTCAAAGTAAACAAAACCTGAATTAAGTATATTATCTATAACTCAGGTATTTTAGTTTAGATGGACATTTCTGATAGTTAATTTCCTAAAAAAAAAATAATTAAAGAGTAATATATAGTTAATATCTGCAAAGAAGAGTATACATAGGATAAATCTATACAGAAACTTTTTTGTACTGGAGAAACTTCAGATAAACAGACAAGCAAAAAAGGCATTTAATTTAGGCTGCTGTGTAGTACTTTGTCTTGTGTGTACTTTCCCTACTTGTGTTCACCATTGTCCACATTATTTACTTTTACTATATTTATTTTCCCCCCGAGGCTTGCTAGTAACTAAATGATATGGTTAGAAACGTATCAGGAACTATTGTACTTGTTAGATGATGTGCAAGTATGCAGAAATGGGAGTTTGCATCAGTGCAGTTGGGTGGTAGTGCTCTCTGTTCAACCTGTCACACCACCTACATAACCACGCCCCAGCCCCAAAAATCTAGGGTTTATACTAGGTAGGGGCCTTGTGGGATGTGGCATCTTGAAGTTCACTTCTTGAAGCTGCCACAATTTTGGCTGTGCAAGAAGTTCACCTGCTTCACAGTCTCCTTTTAGATTTCTAGTGCTGCAGTGGTTCCGCTCTTCTTGTACGTTCCTAATCCTTCAACACACGTGTTGCATCTTATAAACCAGTTGTGCATGCACAAAATCAATTTTATAGTTTTACTGCACAGCTCTGCAATAAATTGTCACATTGAAAGTTTTTATTGTTTGGAGACAAGATGAATATCCCAGTTGGGTGTGTAGTGCCTTTTGAATTTTTTTTTCCAGAAAGAAAACTCAATATGTCCTAAGTCAGTATTGTTACTTCCATGCTATCTTGATGGTGGAAGAATGGGCAACATTCTAAACTATATATTCAATGTAAGGGAAAACTTTGAGGTTTTAGTACAACTTCACTGTGATTTTGATAATGTTTCAGGACTAAGACTATCATCTTTCTTCTGTGTCATTCTTGTTTCAGTATTTTGTAAATTTTTGATGGTGTAAGGCACTCCACAAATGACTGGCTTGCTTCAAAAGTATGTACTTTTGTGAAAAAAGGAGTTACAATCCAGACATGCCCAAGCAACTGAGGAAGATATATTCCATTTGTGGTTTTGTTTCCTCAGTAGTAGATGAAACCACAAAGTATAATGGAGAGGGGGAACACAATGTTTCTGTATATGCTTAACTTAAAATGCAGAGTACAAAATTCAGCATTTAGTAGGTCTCTAACTAGTCGACTCTGATTATGCATATTTGTGTAATAAATAACATTGTTTCTTTTAATACCCTCAGGGAACCATACAGTACCTGTATGACTCAAGTACTGAACTCTGCGTTTGTCTGTTAAGCTATCTTTGCCAATACTATTGAGAGAAAACATAGTGGTCAAAGATACTAGGCATTGATTCTTCTGCAGCATTGTACAAACTGGTTTTGAGACAAATGCTGAAAAAATTACTTTAGAGCTGGATATTTGGTTGTAAGGTTTTGTCTTTGTAGATATATTTGAGATTGACCTTAAGGAAATGAGTACGTATTTAAAATATAGGAAGTCCAAATTAATCTGTAGTTACTAAGAGTTCATCTTTATCATTCTCTTATGATTATTGATGTTAAACCTCTAGGTTTCTTCTGTATCGCACAATGTACAAGCAACCCATCTTTAAATTGTAAACATACAATTGTTAACTCTTCTATGATTCAAGTATAGTTTGGAAATGCAACAATTAGTATTGTAAGCCCTGGTTTATGGTTAATTGAGTAATCCTTTATTACTAGTGCCAGCTAGGCTTTTATGGAGCTGTATTTAAATTTGTGTACTTTCTACTGCCAGTAGAACTGTGTAAATTAAGTTCGTGCCCATTTTCTGTGGCAGCTGGGGCAGTCAGTTTCTAGTGTTTTGGTCATGAAAAATATGTTTACCGCTTTTAATAAAATATTAAATGCATCAGGCAGTAGTAGTCATTTACATGTTCCTTGAAGGTTCAGTTAATGTTTTATTGTTGCATAGGTGGTAGCAAACTTTCATGTAACCAGTGATCTAAACATAGTAAACAGCATGTGATTTATGGATTTACTTTATGACTGTTCATCATTCTAGCTAACTTACTTTAAAATAATTGGTTGTAAAAGTTTAATCTTAACAACTCGGGGGGATCAATAATTAATTTCCAATATGACCCAGCAGTATGTTTTATTAAAATATGGCAGCATAGTTATAAAAGTGCAAGGAATAATATGTGACTAACATGAAACTTCAGTCACTTTGCCATTTGATAGTTTACTTGCAAATGACTATGAATAGTCTCTTTAAGTGTAAATATTAGAACTCTGGTGTCTGCCACTATTTGATGTGATCCTGGTGTCTGGAGGGTACCTACAGTTGGGGTTGGAACCAAATTGTGCACTAACTATTCACACTTTTCTTATGGCTCAGGTTTCAGTGTTCTATTTTAAACATACAAGTGCTGTGATCTTTTACCAAAGGAGCTAAGAAATCTGTGAAGTTCTCCATGAGTTCTCTCCGTAGGATATTGAAGTAATCTGAAATTGCATTAGTCCTTAGTTTGACCTGTTGCTTTGTGGTGTAAATGTGCATATTTGTTTGGGGGGGGTGGTGGGGGGGGCGGAGTTTGTATTAGTAGTTATGCACCTGATCTTCAGTAAATATATAGATCAAAAATAAATGTCTCGTATTAAAAATGCAGCTGTTGGAAGATTATACCTTACCTTCAGATGGTGGCTTGTTAACCTGCAGTTACCTCTTGTCCAGGGACAACTTTTGTTGCTTTTTGCTGCACAGTTCTACTTTTGTAGCATATCATTGAAAAAAAGATCATGGCTCCATGTAACTGTAAAACACTTTAAATGTTTTTCTTAGTGAGATAGTTCAGAAAAACAATATAATTTTCATCCATGGGGAAGATAGAGGAATTCAATATGTATTTGTTTATCTAATTTGCGTTTAGAATTTTTACTTTTCAGGAAGCCTTTGGCCGATAAATAGCATTTAAAATACTAGCTTTCTCCTGTTGTACTACATATCTTGTAATAGGAATGCAGATATAGCTGAAACTTTGACTGTTGAAGTGAGTATTTCCTCTGCCCCACTTCCGATACTCGTGTAATTGGTTGTTAATCTGGCTGCAGTGTTAAGCAGTGTAACTCCTTTCCACTCCAGGTCATTGCTGACTTTGTGCTTGATTTGATATTTCTTAAAAATACATTGAAGGAAGGAAGGGAGAGAACATCCATCAACTGTAGACACTTCTTCCTCCTCCAACCATCCCTATTAGGTTATAATGTCAAAATGAGTACATTCACATTCCTTGTACAAGCCAAGAATTGGACGTTTTTAATGTAGTTAAATGATAGTTGTACCAGATGACTTTATAAGGTTTGTGTATTTTCATCTAAGAGAGATTCAAAACAGTAAATGAAACGGGTTGTGTAATACCTGCTGAGAAACTTGTGCATTTCCTGTGTGCTTTTGATGATGTTTCAAGGACTATTATTTTTCAGTTTCCTTGAACTTGATGCTTATCTACAGTTTCATCTTCATAAATTAAAATGGTATTGCAGGTATCATGTTTGTTTTAAGAAGAAAGAAGGAGAAGATATGTTTTTGTTCTGTTGATAATGATGAGTATGTACTCCTTGTCTTGGGAGAAGAGAATTATTTGGCTAGTGTAATTTTAGACATACTGTTCCAGAATTTTCATCCCATGGTGATGTGCTTATTTACCATGTCTTCATTTGCTTTTGTATCTCTAGTCTTTTGGAAATGCTTAAAAATTACCTGCAAATTCTCATGTTACAGACACAGGGATTTCAAATGTGCCTGGTTTTGGTGCATTTGGTGGAGTCAATTGTTTCTGTTCAGTGGTAGAGTTTAGAATTTGTTACAGGATGGGGATAGTATGGAGAGGTCTCCATGTTAAAATATGGTATTAGAGTGACTGTGTAGGAGTTTGAGCAGTGATGTGTCCTGCCCTTCTCTAGTATGGGAAAAGATAATGCAAGGGGAAAAGTGCAGTATTGGACAGTTGAATGAAGGAGATGGAATGTAATTCAATTTACAGGCAGACTTAGTTTATAGTGATGCTTGCATTGATCTTGTCACGTTTTACCTTATGGTTTAAAATTCCTACCTACAAAGTTGAGCCTACAGAGTCCCTTTGCAGGGTGGATTTAAATTCTCTGACCCTGGGACTTGAAAGACCAGTTTCTCCTGTAAAATAGGGACCCCTATTGGAAAAGATAGGAATATCAACCAAATGGTTTACTTTAATGCTCAAGAGACCAGTTGTTTTTGGAATCTAATTCTTTAGTGTCCTTAAATATGAAGGTAGCTATCAAAGGAGGGACTACAAACTTCAGTTGAGCTAGAACTGTGACAGTTTACTTTTTCTAAATGCTGTGTCTTCAAGTTGGTTTTAAAGCAGAGAAATAATTTCAATCTCTACGTCTAGAGCAAAAGCAGAACCTTGAGTATATGTGAATAGCTGTTAAAATTCATGCAGCAGCTTTCTGCTTCCTGCTGTTCCTCCTCAGATTGCAGTGCTTTGTTAAGAACAAACTGACTAGGACACTGGTGATTTTTCTGCAGTTTGCAGGGAAGAAATATGCCTGCATATTGCAAGGAAGTCACAACCTGTGTGACTTTCCACATAGTACTTCAGCCTTGCTTCATTGACTCATATCACAGATGG